ATCCTTTGCTAGACAGATTTATTAGCAGCAGGAGGTTAAGTGCTTGACATAACATTGAGTGCACTTAATATTCCAAAACAGTAATTAAATGAATGGGAAACCGAAAGAAAAATGGGTCATTTACTATCAGTGTTAAGCGTCACATGTAATGTGAAGTTTTACTTCACAAATCTTCTCTGGAAGTTTCTTTTTGTTCAAAATTGTAAGTTTTGTAAACTGAGTAAAGCTTTTATGTTATTTAGAAGGATACTGATTAAGCATAGTACTTTTAATTTTTATTTCTTTATTATATCTACTTCCTGGATCTCAATTTGTTCCAAAATACAACACTCAGCTTGTTAAAAAATTACAGTTATTAACACAGCATCAAATGGCTTCCCTCATTCGCACTAGAACTTCTGTTTTGTATCTCAAAAGAAACTTTAGCAGGTCTTCTAAGGTAACTTTCTGGAATGTCACTATTCTTTCTCTTTTCATTAACTCTTCAGGAAGATTATGCTCTGATTCTAGAATCTCAATTATTTCCTTACACATTATATTCTGTAGGTGCTGGAAATGGGAATCTGTAAGTTCATTTATTCTTTGTATGTTTGATTTGGACCGCGAGCAGAATTAGTGTGTATAGTTTTATGAGATTCTGGGATAAAAAATATTGCTCCCCAGAAACTTGACCACTGATATGCACTTTCTAAATGTAAGAAATCTAACAGTTCTGAGTTTACTTGAAAGCCAAATAAATACTGTTTTGTGTGGGATTGATGAAAGATTTGTGTTTATGATGTTCAAACTACAGTGTATCCACTTACTCATAACCTGGCACTTTGAATTACTGCTTTGGACATGTGAAGTTATTTTTCAGATGCCTCTAGAATTTAATCCATGTTTATTATCATTTATACTAAGTATGATACATGTTTTCACTATTGAGTCAGATTTGCTTTACAAGAATTTGTTTAAATAAATTGTAAGACGTTATTAATTTTATTTATTGTGTCAGAAATAATGAAAATTAATACACTGATGGATACCACCTTTCAAGTGAAGAGAGACACACTATAATGTTTCTAGTCTTTAAAAAGATTGAGTCTTCACTAACTCCAAGTTTTTCTGGAAGACACTCAGACTGAAAGTCCTTAGCACCACTTAATTTTTCACTTGAATATTAGAAGTAATTTTTAAAGGGAGTGGAAAGCCATAGGCATTAGTGGTTACACAACTGCTGCTTTTTAGTGGAATGGATGCACCTCTTAGTTCCCCGGTGGATGGAGGAGACCATGCCTGTTTTGACCCTTACTCCCACAGATATTGGCATGTGTGCAAGAAGTTGAATTGTCTTACAGCCTCTTCTGGAATGAATATTGTCTTTAAGAGCTCCACAAACTATCAGGGGATTTTGTTTAGATGCTACAGACTGAAGGACTCATTCCAATACCTGCTCTAAAGCTAGGTGGGCTAGCCCAAATTAATTTTGGGGAAAATATTTTGCTAAATTTATTAGAACTTATGAGAAACAAAGTAAATAGTTTTAAGAAATATTGGAAAATAGGGAAATAGCTTGCTGACAGATGTGAAGTCTGTAGTAATTTTTACTGCTGGTGTGGGGAGGAAGGAAGGAAAAATTTAAATACATTATTACAGCCATGAATAGACATTAAATATTTTCATGGTTCAAGTGTGGTTACAATGTATGTATTTGCATAACTGTAGCTTTTGATTCGGCCTCAGTCTTAACAACTTCCTAAATTGCTTCTCACTCTTTGCTGCTGAAGGTCATTGAAACTTTAGAGCATCATGGTGAATATGACAAGGAGGGAGAGAAGGTGCTTATGTATATATCTCACATTCACTACAGGAAGGAAACCATTAGAACTGTAATTCTCTGGCATAAATGTGTGTATCTCTATCTGAAGACTGATCAATTCTATGCTCAATTCTATCTTTCATTTATAGTAGTTTAAGAGGGATATTTTTCTATTTATTTTACGGTGCACTATGATGCAAAAGACTGGCTATACAGACAAATGAAGTTATATTGGAGATATTCAGGCTCCTCTACAATATAGCTAATATGTAATATATACATAATGTGTCCTACTTCTAATTTCATTCAAATTACTGTTTTGTTGTTGCTTAGGTATTACTGATGAAGCTGAAACATTACTAAAAATCTTATAATTTGTATTAAAGAAAAAAGTCTTGGGGTCATCTCCTGAAAGAAGATTGAACTCTATATTCTTGTATTTGCTGAGCCATAATCTGCAGTGCTCTTTGAAATGTAAGAGTTGAGTAGGGTAGCAGGAATAGGAGACATTTTTAGGTGCAACTGGGAAATATTTAGGAATAAGAAAGTTGGCCCTTCCTTCTGCCTTTATGTTGCTGATGGCTCCAAATCAGTTCTAATTTGATATGTTTTGCACCAAAGGGGTATATATAGGGTATATATATATCAGGCCAGATTGTGTTGTGCACTGTGATGATCTGCAAGGTTTATCTTGGAAGCTCTCCACATTTAAAGCAGCAGCGAAGTGGGTACTATGAAATTATTCCCACCCCTCTCTTTTTACCTATTTAGCTTTTAAACCTTCTCTTGAAAAATTTCTCTATCAGGATGCTTTCCAGGCTTTATCTCCTTGTATGAAACAGGATATTGTGTAGTCATGCTGAATGCTTGAGCACACACCAGAGAGAGGAGAATTCAATGTGAGGAATTGCAAATCATGCAAAGTCAGTTCTTTTTAATGTTGCTCCCTACAAAGAGCTTTATGTTTATACCTGACATGATGGAGTCTCCTCAGAGGCTACGGATTACAGGAAGACCCATCTAACTGGAATGGTTACTTTCTTCTCACTCTATCACTATTCCTTGACCTTCTAAATTCTTCCCCATGCAGCATTCATTGTCTCTTTTAAAAAAAGGCATTTTGCTCACTTTAGATGACACTTCAAAGCAGTCTTAGAAAGAATGATTCTAGCAATAGCCAAAGGATAGTTTTGACTACATTTCACCTGTGATGCATAGTCATCTCTTGATTATTTTTTAATAACTCTTGGATCTTATTGTAGTTTAAAATGTATATTTGGTGTAAACATGGGATTGCATATTTTTTTCATTTTCTGGTCTTAAATTCCTATGAGCTTTTCTGTGTAATTTGTGTGATTGTTGATGATTATCTAGGAGGATAATCCTTTAGTTACTAACATTCATGTATTCCCAGTGGTAGAGTCAAGTCAGTTTTGTAGACAGGATAAGCTGTCTACCATATGCTTTAGAGGACTTCACTTCGTGTGCTACTTTGGTGTATAATGAGACCCATACTTAGAAGCGAAAAAAAAACCAAAACACAAAACAAAGCTCAACTATCTTATCTTAGAATAAATATAGCTTAGATGATTCACCATTTTTAAAGCCACAGCTGTAATCTCTAATTGGAAGTAAATTATTGTGAATTAATTTTGATATAGCAGAAGCCTTGAACTTTTCAGTATAATATTACCTGTGGCTAGTTTAACAGTTATGATTTTTTTAAAAAAAACCTCTCTGCATGTAATGTAGACAGAACGGTATTCCTGAAATTTGGCTTTTGTATGAGAACATACACTGCTGTCAGGTTATACATCCAGGTACGTCAAACACAGTGACTATGGACACCAGTCCAAGGATCATCACAAGCATACTGTAAATTCTCACCTCTGCAGCATTGTTCCTTCTTACAGAAAACTTGATCTCAGAGATGTCTCTTATAAGTATCATTTGAAATACCTTGCTAAAAGGGTAATGAATATCTTGATTATTTCCAAAGCTGTTTGCATAAAACTCTCCTATGGAAAGTATTATTATGCTTGTAGCGGTTTGTCCATGATGGACTGTGAATATTAATTCAAAATACTGTTTAATTAATTTTTTTTTCTATTGGGCTTTTGAATTAATTGAAGACTGTCCATCTGGTATGATTAAGCCTTGAAGTCCCTCCTTGCTTTTTGCTGAAGGTAATGTAGAGAAAGCAAAGAGAATGAACCATACTGCTGGGGGTGCTCTGGCAGCTAATGCTGGGCAATAAGAGCACCATGCATCTCCTTGTTTTACAAAAATTTTCTATCTGTCCTACATACAGGCAGAAGACCCACTTGTTCTGTTACAAAATTGATCACTCTTTGATGACACAGCCCCCCAGGAGTATGCCAAACACCTGCAGCTTTGCAGGGTGAATTCGGCAGCAGCAAGTAGAAAAGTCGCTGCTGTGCCCCTCACGTTTTTCTTTTTATTTAATAAATATCTTCTTGGACAGTCCAGCAGTGGTAGCTGATATAGATTGATTAAGATTATTGCTACATTTAATATTCTCTAGCACCACTGTTATAGGGAGCCTTGTATATCAGGACTGTCTCTGTCTGACAGGGTAAAGAAGAAAGGCCATAGGGTACAGCATGAGCATGTTGTCTCCAGCTGTGCTCACATGCCTTCCCAGCTTGCTCACATCATACATTCTTTTTTAAAGCAATTAAAATCAATCCAGCTAGGATCAATTTACCCCTCTCAGTTATTACAAAGGTATATTAATTTAGTCCTGCTTCATTTTGTCTTAAAGAAGCTCAAAATCCACAATTGTGACTTGCTTTTCTGACATTTTCATCTTCTTTTTGTAGCTGATGGAGAAGTTTTTGCTTGAATTTTCAGTTACTCAGGTATTTGATCAAATAAATAGTGGAGAATAAGTTGAAATGAGAAATGTTTCAGATCATTGACCCATGGATGCAAACCAGATACAAATGATTGTGCTGAGCAGTGACAAAGCCAGATTTCTGAACGAGAAAATGGAAGGGGCCTCACAGAAGCTTTTTCTCTGTGTTTGAGATTCAAAAGTAATAATATGCAGCAAGTGTGGGTAAATAAGGAAACAACACGTACATTTTCTTAACATGCATGAACAGAATGATCTTTCAATCAATTCACAAATGCTACCTAATCTGACTCATCTTTGTTGGCCTTCAAATTTACAAACCACAGGTTGCAGAGGACCTTGTTAACCGGTTACACCTCAATGCCCATGCTGACAAACTAGTGAGAACTTACAGTGCTGGCACAAAAAGGAAGCTCTCTACTGCTGTGGCTTTAGTTGGTAAACCCCAAATACTTTTACTGGTGAGTAAAAGTAATATTGTGGTTACTAAAAATGAGCTGCATTTAATTTTGTTGTCTTGTATGTTGCTCTAAAGAAATTCAGGTAGTTTCCTGATCAGTCAGGGAGTAATTGATACATGGATGTGCAACTGTCTTCTTTGTTCTGCTGTATGAATTACTTCAATTTTATTCTCCAGTGCTCACAAATATAGAAAGTGAAATTGTTTTTTTTCCCTATTTTTTTCTTCCTTGGAGCAATTGGGTGAGCAGAAATAAAAAGCTCTCAACACAAATACAATTGTAGTACTCCACACTCCAAATATGTGTTTAATTGACCCATGTTCTTTCAGGATACTCCTAATTCTTGCTCAGTTGTATTTATTTCATAAGTCTGGCTAGTTCTTTCATTTTGTTGCATTCAAAAGTCACACTATCAAATAATTCTTAGGAATGATATTAATTTGAATTACTTATCCCAGGCTGTTTTGCATACTATTGCCCATTTAGGCCTGATACTGGCCACTCCAATGCAAACAATGCATTTTGTATTGAAGATCAGGAAGTTACAAAGCTTTGAGAACTGCATCATTACAACACTACATTCTCTTTCATATAATTGCCTATCATTTCACTAGAGAATATTGAACATTGCTTTCTTAAAACTTGGCTGGGAAGAGCTAAACCTGTTCAGTAGTGCAATAAGCGTTTCAAAACAGTCAGCGGTAGGAAAGCTGCTCCTCGGAGTTGAGAGGGAAACCATGGCTTCCAGGAAGAGATCACAGGCTAAGTTGAACCAGATAAAATTGATTCTCTGGGGTTTGTGTTTCAGAAGATTAGACACATTTTGCTGCTTCTAACTGCCTACCATTACCTCACTTCTAAGCAAAGATAATTTATTTGCATTTTATACTTTAACTGACTCTGGTTCAGCTACAAAAAGGAGGAGATTATCTTAAATCAGTGCTTTTTTCCTGACCTTAAGAAATGCCACAAATGGTTTAGAAGGTCTTTTTGACAGGGTACCACTGCAAGTATCCATTTCAGCCTACTTCTTGCTGCAGGGCACAAACTGTTGCATATAGAATGAAAAGAGGAAAGAAAGATAGCTAAACATTTTAAACATTTGTTGTCTTTAGAAAGCTAGCAGGTTTTAAAGGAGTTTTCCAGTATTTTAAAAGGATGGAGTTTTTATTATTATTTTTCCTGAAAGCAAAGACATCAATATAAGCTACTGAATCTGCTTCTAAATTGTATCCAGGATCATAGCTATTAATTTCAGCAATATTGTGGGTTGCTTTATTTTTATTGCTTTTTATGTTTTCTTTGTTAGCAATCCACAGATAATAGGAGACTGAACTGAATTTTACAACCTCTGACATTGGTAGTGAAGTGCTAAAATTACCCTCAAACTGGATGTTTTGTTTGCTTTGTTTCTTGAAAACTCTGCTTCCAGGTTTTAGATGGGATTCCTTGCTGGAAATACTCTAGTCAAAGCCATACCTGTCCAACAGGTGCTGACGCTCCCCATGGAATTCCACTAGATAAAAAGCAACTGGAAGAGTTTCCTTCTTCCAGTCTTGTAGTAACAGAGACTGTATTTGTCAATCAAATATAATTCCTTTTGTTTTCATGAGTGGATGAAGTAAAAATTTGATTTAGTGAGGAAAGGAGGAATAGATAATAATAAGAAATGTAGATTTTGTAGCAGCACATCTTTCTACATGAGAGCCATCCAAGTGGGAAATGGGTTTGCCAGTTGGTTTGCACTGAGTTAGTGTTATTTAATCCTGTGAATTCTATCCACTGTAAGTGAAAATGCCTCTTAAAAAGGGCTGTGGGAGTAACTGGTATAAGATGTCAAATCCAAAATTCTTATCAAACACCTGGATATGGGATGGGCAGTGTAGACATCTGGGAGTGACAGGACTTCTCCAGTTGTTTGTGCACATGGCAGATGTGTATGCAGATCAGAAACAGTCACCAAACCCTTCCAGAAAGTGAGCAGAACCACTTGCAAGTGTCTCTTATCAAAAAGAGCGTATGTATATAATTAAACAGATATAATTAATCCTTATAACTATACATACATAAAAAAATTATATATATATGATAAGCATTTATAGATACATTTAGATATATTTAAATATTATTTATGGATATATACTTCTTTACTAAAATGTGCCTTCCATAGATTTAGACATTAAACTGTATGTGTTAAAGCAAAACATTGATCAGGGTGTCACTTAAGTGACCCTCTGAAATTGTGACATTTAAATAGAAAAACATATGATTCTTTTGTGAATTGTGTTAATTCTTCATGCTGGGCAGAACCTGTGGTATGCTTTTTCCATGCTGCTGTGCCGTTTTCATATTTCCTGTAGGATGAGCCCAGCTCTGGGATGGATCCCTGTTCTAAATGCTACCTTTGGAAAGCTATCCTGAAGGAAGTTCAGGATGGTTGTGCAGTTGTGCTGACATCCCACAGGTAAGATCCTTATTCCAGCAGCCAGCCTATTCCTGTGCTGCAGAGGAGTATATTCTGAAGATATGCTCACTGTTGTGAAACACAGATTAAGTATTGAAACTTTATGCCAATTCCTTCCTGTCCATGATAAGGAACCTATTTACATCTGAAATACTTTTCATATTTAATTTTTAAAGAATAGAGTGTTGCTCAAGGGGCTGCAGGCACAGCAAAGATGATGTAATTGATTTTTCTTTTTTCTTGCTCTTTTTACTCAGTGTTGTAGTGTCTCTTCTTGCTTGGAACATCAGGTTACTTTTTTGTATCTGGGTACCATAAAAATCCTTACAAAGGGAGATGTGAGTGAACAACCTTCTGATTTTATTAAGTTTCTGCTTTGCATCAGTGTATGAAGAGTAAGCCATGGCATCCTGAAGATGGATGCGTCTGCTATTCTCTTATGCATTACTGGAGATGGTAGGAGAGACTCCATCCTCTTAGAAGAGTCCGTCTACATTAAATATCTTGTCAGTTCTCTGATATGGTCTATTGATAGTGGTATATTGGTTTAATGGAGGAAACATCAATACTGTTATATAACATCTATAGTGAAATGAAATAAATCAAATGTTCCCTTAGACAATATACATATACTATGTATAATTATATATAAAATTTCTTTAAATGAGGGAGAGATCATGAAAACATGTCCAGAGAAGACAGAATTCAAAAATCAAAACAACAATGAAAAATTTGGCCAAATGAGATTTGAAGTATAGATGAATTAATAAAGGAATGTGGCCAAACTTCCTCCAATGCTTTCTATTTTCAGATTTTTTTAGGTATTTTAGATATTATTAAAATTTATTTGTTGTCCCCGTCCATTATTAATAGAAAATTTTTCCAGAAAGTTCCCACTGTCTTATTTATGGAAGCTGAATTTTGAAAATCATGTACCTGTGTTTGATGGCCAAGTACTTACCAGCACACTTATTTAGGGAATGTGGGTTATGCGTTGTGAATTCAGTTCAGTGATTTTCAGGAAAAAATTGGTTTTGACTTTTCCATTCAGATTAAGAACCTCTGGTTGTCAAACACCAGCTAAACAGTTTTTGTATGATAAACAAACAAACAAAAAATCCATCAAATTGTACTAACTATACATTTAGCTCTACAAATGAATGACTTCAAGCAGTCAATAAGTACAGTGATACTGTTCACATTGTTGTGCCAGGGTGAAGAAAGGAGAAATTATTTTAAACTATTTATACTATTTTCTGAAGGCCATTGGGGCTTTGAGATTATTTACTTGTATAAGTACAGGAATTTTATATATGAAGTGAACTTTCTTACATGTCAGCTAGTACATGTGTAAGGTATAGAGAGGATGTTTTTGCTGTGTAAAAATCAAGTTTTGTGGACTGTTCACCTACTTTTCATAGATAAACATTTACTTAAATTTCAGAGACAAAACCTCTGTTTTAAATGGGGAGGGGTGAGGCTTTATCAGCTGTCCCTAGAGCCCTAAATTTGTGTAATTTTGCCACAGCCAGGGAATGTTTTGCCAAGTTATTTGGTGAATTTCCTTATCTGTGGGAAGATCTGTCTTTCTCAGACATACCAGTTTGGCAGTTCTCACCACAGCCCTGTCATATTATAAAGAAATTGTTCCTAGGGCAGTACTTAATTGCCAATGTCCACTCAGTCAAAGCACTTTGACTTGGACTGGTACATGGTTGAGGCATACAAGATGTCTCTGTTTAGCTGTCCCAGAAGCGCTGGGGAGGGCGCACAGTGAATTGTAGAACACCAAACATCTTTGAGATGATGGATGTGTTCCATATGGGTCTTTATGTCTAAAGTGCTTCTTTGAAAGAGCTACTCACACAATTCTGCATAATATGTAGGGTAGCAGCCCATCTGCCATAAGTTTTACAAGTTAAAGCTGTTATTTTATCATCTGAAGCAGTTACAATCTAGGAGAACCCTGCTTTTCTATTCAGATGCATTTCAGTTTCCTAAATTCTGTTTGGATTGTACTGTTTTGGATATTCTATCCTGCAATAGGGTTACCCTGCAGAGGGTAACTTTTTTCAAGGCCATGTACTATGCAAAAGAAAGGCTGAGCAAGCTTTTCATTCTTCTCCCTTTATCCTTTAGCTCAGAATAATCACAAATAGGTATTAAAGGGAATAACAGTTCATGACTCCCTCAGCAGCAGTCCTGAGACTACTTATAAGTTTGCCTGTGGTAATGATGCCTTTATATTCTGACCAGAATGGTCCAATTAGTTATAGACTAAAAATATAAATAATGGTTTAAGGCTCTCTTCTAGTTGTCATGTGGTAATAACTGCTGGTGTATACTGATTAGTGTTACAACTTTGACTGTTACTGTCGTGGTTTTAAACCAATAACTAAGAAAATTACTTATTTCTTGCTGTGAGATATGGATTAGAACAAGAGCAAAACAGGCATAAAACTTAAAAGGAAAAAAAAAAGAAAGTTTATTGACAAACTACAATAAGAACACCAGAATAAACTTCCAGAAAAACCTTTTCATCCCCTGTCTACCCACTATTCCCTTGTTCACATGACAAAAGAGACAAAAACTTTGGAACTTTGATGGTTAAAACAGTCCCAATTCTTGCTACAGTCTTTTCACCAGTCTTTATAGAGAAACAGAAGTTTCTTCCTGTTAATTTATGGAGTTTCTCACAAGAAAAACTATTTTTTGTTATAGTTTTCCATTGCTCTAATGTTAGCTGCCCAGAGCTGCTGTTATTAGAGCCCACTCCTCCCATTTTCACATCACTCTCAAGTGTGCATGGGCCATGAGTCTAGGGATGGGATTTTTAAGGATAAGTTATTCAAAGGCAAAAAGTCTTCTTCATCTGTTTCTGTGAGCTTCACTAGAAAACAGTTTTCTCATTGCCTCTCAAGGCTTCAAATCTTCCAGCACTTCACTGTACCATAATTACTCTACTTTTTTACTCAAAATTTACACTTTGAACACTCTATTCCTCCCTATTTACTGTCATGAATTAAAGGAGTGTTTTCAAGACTTTATTGTCCATTTCCATAGTTTTAACAGAAAGATATTTCAGCTTAATTAAAGCATCTTCTTAATTCTCTACCTTTTCTTTTCTTTCCTGTCACTAGTAGTTTATAAAGTCTCTTTTCATGTTGATCACTCTCTTTTCTCTGTCTGGATAAAAAGATTAATCCGCAAGTCTCATCTGGGAAATGAAAGAGTTAAAATCTTGCCCAGGCTGTTGTAGGTAGTTCTGTGGCCTCGGCCGGTGCAGGAGCTGGAGCCGTCTGCGATGGAAAGTTCCTCATGGCTGCTCTGGAGAGTGTAGTCGCCGCGCCCAGCCCGCTGCAGGTCCAGAGCCTCTCTCCTTCTTCACTCAGCAGTTTCTAGTGAATTTAGTTACAGCAAAAAACCTGCAGCCGAGCCAGAGATCGGCTCGGCCTGGCCCGGCCGGAGCCCGGAGGAAACTTTTTCCGCAGGGCCCACATCTCCCCGGCCGGGAGACGCTGGGCCCAGCCCAGTCCCCGCCCGGCCGCACGGCCTGGGCAGGGAACGGGAGGCCTGGAGCTCTGCCACCCTTCCCAGCCAGGAAACAAAGAGAACCAAGAGAGCTCTGGTTTTACACTTTAAGGTAGGGTTCACAAGTTGATCCCACTTTTCAATGGCCTAAACTGCTGTCAATTCTCAGCAATGACCGATAATTGGTCAGGAGAAAAGACTCCAGGCAGTTCCCAGCAACTTAAACTTTCTTAAAGGTAAAGTAACTCCATGACAGTTACCAAGCCAAAGGTTTTATTTCTGTTTTTGCAGCTGTCCAGATTCTTTCATTTTAAGTAAAGTTAGGTATAAATAATGTTCTCTGTTTTCACTACTAATTATTTATTTTTCCCCCTTGATTTATTTTGTAGTATGGAAGAATGTGAAGCTCTCTGCACAAGGCTTGCTATTATGGTCAATGGAGCTTTCAAGTGTCTTGGCTCTCCCCAGCACATTAAAAACAGGTATTATATATTGAGAGACCGCCAGCTATTCACCAGTCTTCACAGAAGTAATCATGAATGCCGTTTATTTCTATTATTAACACACCTTTTATAGGGTTTTACAGGGTCCGCGGGCAGAGGAAGCTACTATTGGCTAACACACACAGGTTTACATTTTTCTCCTTGTACACAAGAATATTGTTTTGCTTTACTCTCTCTTCTGCAGGCAAGTTTCAAGGATTTTAGCCCTTAATATCACGACTTATTTCAAAGGCTGGTTTGTGCATACAGGCCTTTACTAATATATAAAATATATCAACAATTCCCCCTTTCTCTTTTTGCACAAACCAGGCTTTGGATAAGATAGCATACAACTTAGATTGTCATCTCAATTAACACTGTAAGTAAAGTCCGTCCCCCTTCTAGCACAAGAGACCTCAACCATCCGGTGATGCCCCAGCTGGCAAACCAACTTCCAATGGGGTCACTATCTTCTTTCAGGGCATGTAACCCATCCTGTAGCTGTTGTAGTTGCTTATGGATGGAAACTGAATGATCAGTAAGATTCAAGCAGCACATGCCTTCAAAAACTCCTCTTAACCATGTCTTTGTGCTAAGAGCAAAAAGTCAATTGCAGCTTGATTTTGTAATACTGCATGATGTACACACATCGGCTGAAAGCTCACTTAACATTGTGGATGTTAAGTTTAATCCTTTCTTAGTCTAACAAGCGAGCCTTTTTAGAGTTGCTAGGCCTTAATACATTCAGGCTTCGCTTTGACTGTTTGATGTTTTTCACTTTGCTAGCTACATTCAGCAATTGGTGTAAGCTTGGATAGAACAAAGTAAGGTTCTTAAGATAACATGGCCCTCCATGTGGACTAGCAGGAATTCCATTCCATGCCCTATCTCCACAGATTAGGAAGATGGAACTAGGTTGTCCTATGCAAATGGCATCACGTTTGCCAGCTCACGGGTAAAACTTTAATCGTTAAATGAACTTTCAAAGATGCTTACACTAGCTCCTGAAGGGGGAATACTTATACCTTATACTAATATAATAATCACTGCACACACTAAACTCCTTATTTTAACTATTATCTAGCTATTTTTTAACACACGTGCTCTGGTATATATGTAGTCTAAGCGTGAAAGCAGTTTGCAAAAAGGGGTAAACACACAACTAAAATTTGTTTCGTGCACAATTAGATAGAGTCTCTGTACTCTTCTCAGATCTTCACAGGAATTTCTCACAAACAGACTATGACTTGACACGATTCAATCCAGAAACATCTGTTGCTCCTGTGGTGTCACCTGGCAGCCGATCAGAGACTGACTGAGGGCATCAATCTTCAGATCTTTCGTGGCTGGTTTTGTCCATCGAATAGGCACCCAAAGTGGTCCAGCATCTGTGGAAACACAACTGTAACCACACCCGTTAAATAGCAATGGACTCGGTCCCTCCCAGATACCTGTTTCTGGGTTCTTGTAGTGTAACTTAACCTCTGGGGTAGCTTGCATCTTTACTTGACTATTGTAGATGACCACTGGGGGTTGCTCTAAGTCTCCAACTAAACTGAGGAAATTTAGAGTGAATAACACTTGCTGCAATCGAATGGTAGGGACTAATTGTTCTGCTGTTTTTTGCTTACTCAAATACTCTTTTAGGGTCTTGTGGGCTCTCTCTACAATGGCCTATCCAGTTGACACATGGGGAATTCCAGTTACATGTTTGACTCCCCATTTTTGTAAGAACTGAGAAACTCGTGTTCCTACATATGCAGGCCCATTGTCTGTTTTTATTTCTTTCAGAACTCCCATTATGGCAAAGCATGCTACCAAATGTCGAATTTCATGTATACTTTTTTCTCCTACTTGTGCAGTGGCCCAAACCATTTTTGAAAAGGTATCTATTGTAACATGTACATATTTGAGGCAACCAAATTCAGGCACATGTGTTACGTCCATTTGCCAAATCTCACAGGCTTGAAGACCCCTAGGGTTAACGCCTAAACCTAGAGTGGTTCCATATTGACTGCATTGTGGACAGGATTTTACAATGCCTTGTGCATCTGTTAAGCTGATATTAAATTGTCTCTGTAAGGCTTTTGCGGCTTGATGAAAGAGAGCATGACTCTCTCTTGCAGCTGCGAAAGAGTCTCTTGGTGCTGCTACAACAGGACTGACAAGCGCATCAGCTTTTGCATTGCCTTCTCCAAGACCTAATTCTGTTTGATGACTGCGGATGTGAATGATGCAACAGGGCTCATTTCTGTCCTCTATAGCTCTTTTGATTTGAAAGAATAGTTGACACAATCGCTTATTATCTGGTGGCTTGATAAGAGCATCTTCAATACGTTGTACCACTCCTACCACGTACAATGAATCTGATACAATGTTCAGCTGTCTCTCCACTGAGACAGTGCCCATGCAACGGCTGTAAGTTCTAATGTCTGCAGTGAGTCATGTGCATCTCCATCTATAGTTTTACTTCTCCAACTCGAGCCTTCTTGCCAGGTACAGGCTGCTTTTTTCTGCCGACTTCCTGCGTCTATATATACCGTAAGGCCTTTTACCGGCTGCTTCATGACTTTAGACTGTTGCAGCCACCGCTGTTTTAAGATGATCTGCAGGCGTGGATCTCGAGGTTGCCTGTTGTGTACAGTTCCTGGATAGCTAAGCAGCACTAATTGAATTGGTTCTGAATGTCTCAGCATCCACTCAAAATTTTCTATCGTTATTGGCAGACCGATATGTTCCGGCTCAGCACCACTAATTTCCACAATTCGTGTTCTTGCTTTTTTGATGAGATAAGCAATTGCTTCTGTCCTTTGCCAAATACTCACTGGTGGCGTATATGGTGTAAAAATCCACTCAAGAATCGCTAAAGGCTCTGCACATTTCTTCGCTGATTGCACTAACTGTATCTTCCTGGCAGGCTGCTTGGCACCTCGACGGCTCTTAGATGGGCCTTCTCCCCCTTTCTCTTTTTGCCAAGCAGGCCACTGGAATATGATAGCACATGGTGCAACAGAGTGGTTACAAATCAGAAGTCCTAAAGGCACATCTGGCAATCTTCTGTCTGCTAGTGTTGAAAGCAGTTTCTTCCCTAGATAAATGAGACAGCTCTTCTGATCTGCAGAAAGAGCAATTGGAGTTTGCGGGTCTGTACCTTTCAAAAGGCTCATTAAGGGTGCTATCTCATCATTTCGGATACCGGCAATGGATCGTACCCATTGCAGATCTCCAACAAGCCTTTGTGCATCATTAAGGGTACAGATCTCAGTGGTTAATTCCAATTTTTGTGGGCGGACTGATGAAGATGTCAGAATCCACCCTAGGTACTTCCATGGGGCTTGTTTTTGAATTTTTTCTGGGCAACCACCAAGCCTTTTGCTGCAAGCTGGGCGGTGATAAATGTGAGATCTTCATCTTGGAATGGATCACGTTGGCAAAACAAGATGTCATCCATGTAGTGATAAATAATTGTCTGGGAGAACTTGGCCCGCACAGGTGTCAGTGCCCAGTGCACGAACAGTTGGCACATTGTCGGAGAATTTTTCATCCCTTGTGGAAGGATCACCCACTCAAATCTCTGAGACGGACTTTCTTTGTTGATTGACAGCAAAGTGAAGGCAAATCTCACTGTGTCTTCTTTCTGCAGGGGTATTGTGAAGAAACAGTCTTTCAAATCTATGACTAGAAGATACCATTCTTGTAGCAGCATTGTGGGAGAGGGCATCCCTGGTTGTAATGCTCCCATTGCCCACATTTTGTCATTTACTTTGCGTAGATCATGCAGCAATCGCCATTTTCCAGACTTCTTTGGGATGACAAAAATTGGAGTATTCCATGGGCTGAGCGATGGTTGGATATGCTTTGCTTGTAGCTGTTCTTTGACAAGTTCATGCGCAATTGCTAGCCACTCCTGGGATAGAGGCCACTGCTCAACCCACACAGGCTCATTAGATTTCCACTGAATCCTTGGGGTTGGCAGCCCGTCAGCAGTGGCGACTACTGAAAAGGCAATTGATTGGGAAGGGTTAGTGTTGCCCCGAGCTGGCTGAGAACATCTCGACCAACGAGCCCTCCAAGGCTTCCAGGCAAAGGCATGACGTATGGACATAAGGTGGTAGTCTATCCTTCAGGAAATCGAAACTGGACCGGGTGTACACTTCTCAGTGGCGTGGAGTATCCTCCTACACCTTGTACTGAGCTTAAGGCTCTGTGGAGAGGCCATTCTCTTGGCCACCAGACTCAGCTGACGATGGTAACATCAGCTCCTGTGTCTAGCATCATCTTGACTCTTTGCTGCTTTGATCCGTGGCACAGGGTGATTTCAGTTACTGGCCGATGACTCATTTGTTGAACGAGATTCACCACTGTGTCTCCTGTTGACCCAAATCCTTTGGCTCCACGTCCAGGAGCACTTCGAAAAATGTCTTTCTCAGTTGCCACCTTTTGAAATAACACCAATTGAGCAATTCTTGTTCCCTTTTTGATTGTAAGTGGAGGGGCTAGGGTGTAAGCACAGACTTGGATTTCACCAGTGTAATCAGCGTTGATGACTCCTGGGAGAACAGTAAGTCCAGGAATTCCAGCAGATGATCTCCCAATCAAAAAGCACCAAGTGCACTGGTAACAGAATAAACAGGTCCTGTAACTCCAGTTGGGATTTTGCGGACACTGGTGTCGATGAGTGTGATGTCTACTGATGCTGCCAAATTGATTCCCAGGCTCCCTCGTGTTGCTGGTGGGTTGAGCTGCTGAATAGAGTTGGGGCAGCAACTTGTGTCCCCGCGTGGCGGCTCCTTGCGCTCTTGATCATGTTTTTTGCAAGCTGGCATGCAGCAGTGGCATGATTGTCTACTTGGCATCAGTCACACCACACAGGAACTTGGCAGATTTTTCAAAAGTGCCCTCTGTTGCCACATAGATAACAGATGGCTGAAGGTGTGGCGGAAGGTTTACGTCCGCTTCCCAATTTACTGACTGCAGCAGCAAGTAGACTTTAGTCGGCT